TTAATAGAATGTGTTGAGAATGATGTTGCTTCCATTAGATTTCTTTACAGTCATTTGGTGGCGTCTATTCAAGGGCAAAAATAAAAGAACGACCGGGGCATGTTTCGAGGGAGGCATTTATTTCAAATTAGGCTTTAGAGGGGGTGTATATTGAAATGGGGGGGGGGAATGGCGTTTATACAAAGCAGGGAATTTATTGGAATAAATACGGTAATTAAGAAGAGTAATACAGGACTTAATTAATTGCATGTTTTTTTTTATCATTTGTATGTTGAAATAAACAATGAAAAATGCATGTATACACCATGTTAGTCTTTTGTATTCCTGAAGCTTCAACTAGAGCACAGGTTTTAAGGCTGACACACTGTTTTCAATTATGATCTCCATTAAATAATGAGAACAGAAAACAATAACCAGTGAATAGATATTGTATTAATTATACATACAGGGGTGGTATATAATGATGATGGCTTTTACCATATGAGGATGCACAGAGTTGCACTCCCCCCAAAAAAGCTTGCATCCCCTCCCCCACCATTCAAGACAATTCCCCACAGCAAAAATAATTACACTCACGTAGGTAGTTAAAAATCACCTCATATTCAATTCAATTCGTATTGCTAAGTAAGCTATCACCTTATTTTGCCAGTTAGCACCCCTCATTTAATCATTGAGTCCTCCCAATTTTTGCACCCTCACCCTAAAACCATCACATGCCTGGAAAAGCTCAAAAAGGATTATTTTGTATGATATACCATCATAGAGGTATAGAACAAGTAGCTAACAAATACATCAAATGAAATCGAAACATTGTAAGAAAGGCCTAGCCTAGGGCCATTAATACTACAACCGTGCATAGGCCCTACCATATAGAGACTCTGCTTTCCATGGACGGTCTGCACGAAGTTAGTAATGCCTGCCTCTCGGACTGACTTGACTATACCTAGTATATAGGGGCCTAGCCTAGACGGACATTCTGTTTTTATACAGTTTATACTTGTTCTTTTATACTAGATGTTTTAATAAGGTATTTAAACTAATTTATCATTTAGAAGCAATGGAAACTTACGTTATATGTGATAAATACTCCATCCATACAGTGAGCAGATTTCCCTGTCACCATGTGAGTTTGTTGTTATTTTTATGGTAAAATACAGCGCCACCTGTCGACTGAAGATTACAAAACTTTAGTGACCTCCTGTGTTTGTTTGTTGTTTGTTTTCGTTTTTATCACTCCGAACATCCAAATTTTAATCTCTAAATTTTAATCTTTGCTTTTGCCATCCAAGTTTCGCAACTGATAATTTAAATCTTTAGTATTTAAAGCATCAACCAAGCCTCGTAGTTTTTACTGTTTTGGTGCTTTTTAAGTAAATCTTGGTGTAGCTGAAAACACGTTTCGCTGATTCTTCGCCAGCCACATGCATCGAATATGGCCGCGTGTGGAGTGCTCTAAAACGTCGGTAGCCTTGGCCTAGCCTGGTCTTACGACATTGGCAGATAAACTCTCACCAAACTTCACCAAGATTGGAAACAGATCGCATTTAACAACTTTTCTTTACTTGAATATTACGGTGTTTGTGCTTTGTTGTCCGATTTTGATGTTTTGGGCGGTCGAAGGTGATTTTCATGTTGGTGTTTGATTGAGGATTTTTATCGTCTTTAGCGTATAACTTTTCTTTTTAACTTGTCGTTTTTTGATGTAACTAGAGTGCAGTTTGAAGTGTGTAATCTTTGTAAAGCCATCCTGGAGAGGCCTAGCATGAGGAAATTTCAAGTAACATTTGTTAGCATGACTTTTGTTTGTATTTTAATATTAAGGATTTTTACAGAGCCAGGGATTTCCGAAGTTCTGAACCATTTTATCCATCTTTGGATTTTTACTACTGGTCAGCTATCATCACTCATTATGAAAAGCTGGGTGACACACCGTTGAAGATTTGCTGGTAAGTTTGTTCCATTTTTCACGTATTAACTCCACCCGATATAAATATAATTTTGTCGTCAAAAAACTAAACAGTACAATTCACATTAGCATGCACTTACTGCTGTTTTGAGGGGATGTCAATATGAACCCAGGACCTCACCAACCCAAACATCCATGGGGAGTGTGCAGCGAAGCAGTAAAAGGGAAACAACATGCTATTGAGTGTGAAGATTGTTGGTCTTGGTATCATAAAAAATGTATTAATATGGATGACAAAATATTTGAGGTACTTCAGAATCATGAATCTTACTTATGGGTATGCTGCAGTAGAAACATAATGATAATAAGTACAAAAAATGGAACCACACTGAAATTCTAACTCCCCTACCCCTCACCTTGAAAAAAAAAAAGCCGAAGTAGAAAGATAAAACATAATTATAAATATACAGAAACTTAAATAAAATACAATAGAAGAAAGTTAAAAGAATTTAGTTTAAATTTAAAAGAAGGCAAGAGAACAGAGGGTGGTCAGAGAGACCTATAATTTTCCGTTTTGATCAAAAATTTGAAATTTTGAAGTTGAAGGTCATTTAATTCTATTTTAATTTGGTTTGGAAGTTCGTTAGTTTCATGGTAAAAGAATGTACATAGGTATATTTCCAAGTGGTACAAAGTGAATATTAACTATTTTTAGAAAAATAATGATAAGTACAAAAACTGGAACCACAATCAACCCATGAATTTCATGTTGGCAATTGCCGACCTAGTCCTACTGTAGGCCTTTTTTCTTTGCTTCAAAAACTGCTTGGAATGTCAAAAACTTTGACTGAAACAGGCTATAGCAGACACTAATTTTCATGAACGTCATCAAACCAAGGAAATTGGTGGTTCATTAAACAGATTTGTTTGTACAATTATAACTATTAGGCATGCAATACTGTACGTACGATTTGTGTACAATCGTCTTGTCTTTCTCGCCTAGTCGTTTCGTAGGCTAGGCCTAGGTAGGAATGATGTTAGCCAGCCAAGGCCTACAACATCGCCCAATTGAAGCCACATGGGCCGCATAGATCGTAATGCTTATCTAAATCTATTATTTGTCTTCATTTTACAGTATTGTCATATTTAAAATGTTGTTTATTATCTAAAAACAACAAAATTCAACATATTGTAGGCCTAATTCTACCGTCTGTTTAAACGCAATGACGATCGCATCGTGACTTCATTACTGGTAAGTACTGTACATGTGTGGAAAATCCCTAATAGATCATTCTGGGCATGCACGCATGGACATGCATGGGCAGTTTTGAAGCAGCCTTTGATGATACAATCGTAGCTTTTACAAAAGTGATATTTCCCATGCCAAAGATAACGATAAAACGGACTCAAGAACGAAATTTATTCGGCGATTTTCTTATGTAAAACATATGTATTATACTACACTATTAAATTAATACAAGTACGACCATTCTTTTACCATCAATATATTGATTTAATAGAGAAATTAACAAAATCACAATCTGTAGATGACGATGTAAGGTCGAGCGTTCAGGAAAAATCGTAGCTTATACTATATAAGCCTAGGTAGTAAAAAAATTTGACGAGGCTGCCGACCTCCAAGAATTTTTTTTCAAATTTCATGGGCTGCACAATGAAATTTTAACTCCCTTACCCCTCACCTTCTTAAATATTTTGAAAGTCATTTTTCAATTCCACTATGTTAGAAGGTAGTTGCTCTGATTATTTTCATTTCTTAGCTTTCTTATATACATTAATCTGAATACATTTTTTCCTGACGTGTGCACATCAACGTTTGTTCAGCAACTGGATTAGCTCATGTTCAGCGTCCCCAGCGACACAACATCTACATCTATTCATTTGCTCATCGATGTCTGTTCAGAACCTAGATGTGCAGTGTCCCAAGTGAGTTATGTAACCATGTGTTCTCCATTTGCGGAAAAATCTAACAATTGCGTAAATAACATCGTAAATTTCTATCTGATGTAAAGCCATTGCCCCTCAGCTGTTCTTGGACATGGTTTCTGTAGGGGTAGCGGGCTGGTCATAGTGATTTACAGTAAACTAACCCTTGATGGCCATCATGAACTGTAGGATGTTGTCCTTGGTTTCTGAATTAAAAAAAAAAAAATGAATACATTTAAATAAAAGCAAATTTTTAAATTAAATTGATAAAAAAATCAATATTATATTTTGTTAATTATCAATTTGAGGCTGTCAACGCATTATGTCTATAAAATATGCAGACTGATCCGAGTTGTGGCCTCCAGGGGCTTGGTCGGATGATTTGCTTAATCTCCTGTCACCCACCGAGTGCTGCCAATGGATATAGTGGAGTCATTACAACTCATACATTCATTAACTCCTGTCCTGACTATAAATTTTATTTGACAAAAACATGTGACATGCCTAAATATGGTCAAGATGACATCACATCATGACCATATATAGGCACATCATGACTAAATATGGACATACAACCGATTTTTGTCATAGAAAACTTGATAATATTGACAGACCTTTAAATGATTTGACCAGTTGTCAAATGAAATCAATTTTCTCTAATAGCAATGTGTCAATTGTTGATATACTGTATTTTTTTTTTAATTTGATGTACAACAATTTTAAAAGATATTCAAGACATCAGTCATAATTTATTGAATGCAAAAACACGCTGTGTCTGTCATTTCTATGTGACTGGTACATGCAGCATCATTTCAATCCATGCTGTGACTATTCTTTCCAAAATACCAAGTACTTTAGATGTAGGAGTGATGTTTGCCCTACCTGATGTGTTAGCGTACGCTGAACTTTAGATGTATTATCAGTCAAAAAGACAGAAAAATACCTAAAAAAATTAAAATAAAATTTTGAATAGCTCATTTGAAAAGATCAAAAAAATTATTAAATTATTAGCTTCTAACGAGAAAAAGAAAACAAGTAGTTTTCACCGATTTACATCACATTTCACTACAAAAATCCAGAAATTAAAAAAAAAATTAAAATGGTTAATTTTAAGTTAACTTACATACAAATGTGGAATTAAAATAGTACATCTTTAACAAAAACAGAAAACTGGGGCTGGTTCGTGTTGGGGGAGGGGGGTTTTGCAGACAGTGCAATCGCACGCACCTAAATTGTATTAAGAAAAATAATTGTATTGTTGATATATTATTTTTATCATTATGAACATAGTACAGGTTAGATTTTTAAAGTATGAGAGTTCCATTTCTGGGCATCTGGAGGTCCATATTCTCAAAATTTTCTCACCTCAACACCAACCATGTTGGGGCTGAGGTGGGGTGGACTCTAACACAACCCCCTACTGCCAAATCCTGCATCCACCACAGGAAAAATACATTGTTGGAACCTGATTGAAAATCACTGTGCCAAACCAGCTTTACCCTGAATTTGTACTATATTTAAACAGTAAAAATCTAGGCTTCTTTCAGGATTGAACCAAGAATTCTGTAATAAGAAGGCAAGCACTTTATCACCAAACCACAATTCCAGTCTTGTATAAATTTAATGAGTTTTAATATTTTTTTTTGTTTTGCTCCCATATAATGCATGACATACATTAATTAAATAATTTAAAAACAGGAATTTTTCATTTAGGATTCTTTCAGGATTGAACCAATAATTCTGTAATTAGAAGGCAAAGTGCTTTATCACAAAAACCACATTTCCACTCTTGCTTAAATTTGATCAGTTTAAACATTTCTTACTTTCTGCTTTCATATAATTCATGACATACATTAAGGGAATCATATCAAAACAGTAATTTTTCATTCAGATTTTAAACTACCTTGAACGTGATCCTGTTTCGTAGGCGTTCGCACACACGCAAGAATGCAGCATATTACCATAACTGTCATCACCTTTATATCATATTGTAAGTATGAGATATAAACTATATTTTCTCATTCGCTAATGGTTGTAAGATTGGACTGCAGAATGTTTAAATGCGTTCAGTTTAGTACGAACGCATGCATTATTGTATGAACGCATGCATTAGTCCGCGTTTTCTTTTAATATCAATCTGCCTTTTGTCCATGAATATGAGTTGCTTCTGGCAACCTCAGAATTATCCATCAGTTCATTAGTAATCTTTCAAACCTAATCTCTTTTTATGAAATATAATTACTATTCTGAATGATAACTAAAGGAGAAGAAGAATTCAATTTTCTAAGAGTGCCTACTTGTGGATTTGTGCCGATACAGTTGTACGTATTAATTGAA